AATGAGGGTTTTTGGTTTTTATATAGCCTTTAAATAAAACAAAAGCTAAAATGTAAGTATGCTAATATAATCCATTGTTTCCAACATGGAAATAGGTCAACAATAACATTTCAGAAACGGTTATTCGGCAGAAGATTCTGGGATCTCATGCTGGGTTTTTCTACTCCGCAATAAAAAAAACATGTAATATCCAAAAAATGAGTTACTTCAAATTACGACGACAACAGACACACAAAAAATAAAAAAATAAATAAAAAAACACCACATTAAAAGACATCTCAAGAGGAAGACTCTTTGTTTGATCTCCAGAGACCAAGAAATTACAGCATGCTCATAGAGAAGCTTAATGCTGCCACCTGCTGGTGACAAATAAAACTGATTCTCTGAACTATAATTACCACCGTCCTTTTAAACAGACAGTAATACTGTGGAGGTGACAGACTTTTAAAATCACAAGTGAAATTACCGTCAGTCACTATTCACTTTTCCTCCTTTTTAAACATAATAAAAATTTTCCAGCTGCAGAATTTAGTCTCCATGACACCAAACAAACAAAATCTACGGCCTACAAAACGAGAAGCAATGAGATTATGTACAACTCATGTCAGCTGCTTGTCCAGAACAGGCCAACTTGGCTGCAGAATTTATTACACACACACACACACACACACACACACACACACACACACACACACACACACACACACACACACACACACACACACAGCCATTAAGCAGAAAATAGAAAGACATTAAATATGCAGTTGTTGTGAGACCAACATATCAGCAGGCTTTTTAAGTGTTGGAAAACTACATCTGTAACTCTTAAATAACTCCAGCAGGGACATCCGTATTTGTGTTTGTCAGACTGATCCAAGATCAAATAAAAAAACAAAAAAAGGTCCCCCGATATAATCTCTGACTGCTAAAACTGGGTTTCACCATTAAGTTTTTTTAATTTTATTTTAATTTTTGGTGTGTTTGTTGTTTTATTTTGCAGCAGGGGAAGTTTTGTTTCTTTGTAATACATTTCGTCAGCCTCACACCAAACACTGAATTTCTGACTGATATACTATTTCTTTAGTGAGTTTTCTTTAATTTTGCATACATACAGTACAAAGCTTTGTTGCTGCACATTATTTTTAGATAATTTTCTTAAAGGAGTGCCAACCTGTTGAGAGTCACGCAAAAAGTTAAAAGTGTGAAAACCTCTGAATCAACCTTCAAACTGACAAGAGTCAAATAAGGATTCTGTCAGTGCAGCGATAACTGCTTTATTCTTTTTATTAATGAAAAATAAGGAAAGTTTGGTTTGACCAGTCGTGCTCATCGTTGTCCTGGGTCTATGTCACTATTTAACTTTCTTCTTTTTTTGTCTTGATGCTTACGAGAGAAGTTAATCTGAAATGTTTTGTGTGTTTTAGGATTTAAACTCATGTTGGTTGGTTTGGCCACTTGAGTACAATTAAAAGGTTTTTATTTTTATACTTAATGACAAATAGTACCAGACTTTTTTTTAAAATTTACATCTACCAAAAGCCAAAGTCTTGCTGTTTCCAAACATTCTCTAATTTCTTTCTTTGTGTGTGTGTGTGTGTGTGTGTGT